GGCATATATACACAATGGAAGATATTTAACTACAAAAATGCTTTAGCTCAGGAGCCTGCCTTCAAGAAGAACTCAGGGAGTCACATGGAGAATCAGAATTAAGAGGACAAAGATTCCAACAACTCAATACTCCAGCACATCGATGGTGCCTCCCCAAGGAGGACCAACATGGTTCAAGTCTGGAATATCTGCCAAAGGCTCATGTTGAAGGCTTTGTCCCAATGTAACAATGTTCAGAGGTGGGACTTTTGGGAAGTGATTGGATCATAAGGGCTCTAACATCATCAGTGGATTAATCCACTGATAATTCATAATTTGATGGCATTATTGAGAGGTAGTGGAAACTGTAGGAGGTGAGTGAGTCCTAGTTGAATAAAGTGGGTCACTGGGGGCGTGTTCTGGAAGATTTATCTTGTTTCTTCTTTGCTTTCTACTTCTTGGCTGCCATGTGGTTAGAGTTTGTTCTGCTATGCCCTTCCGCCATGATGTTCTGTGCCACCAGAGGCCCAAAGCAATGGGGCCAGCCAATCTTAGACTGAAACCTCTGAAACCACAAACCAAAATTAATCTTTCCTCCTTTAAGTTGTTTTTCTCAGATATTTTTGTCGTAGTAACAAAAATCTGACTAACACAAAGACCTTCAGCTTACTTAGCTGTGTCCTATAGCCATGGATGTCTGAGTGCATTTATCAACTCATCAAATATTTATTAAGCACCATATACACCAAGCACTACTACTCTAAATGCTAAGAATGCATAAGAAGATAAGACAAACAACTTTTTTAGGAAGAGATGGATAGTAAACAATGAATCAAGATAATTTCTGATAATAATAAGTGTGATGAGGAAAATGAAACAGTGTTATGAGATAAGGTTACAGGGGAATGGGGAGGGGAGAGGGAGGGCAACTGTAACTCAGAAAGTCAGGGGTTGTGGTATTTAATGTGATGATGGAAAGGATCTGGGAGAAGGAAGAGGGAGCAAGACGTGCAGTGTCCTAGAGATGGGAAAGGGCTTGGCATATTTAAGAAACAGAAAGGACAGTGTGGGTGAAAAAAACAAAAGGTGAAAGTGAAGAGAAGATGATGTGAAAGAGGAGGTAGGAATCCATCACTTAGAGTCTTAACAGGGCATGGTGGAGCATTTGAATTTTATTCTAAGGTCAGTGGGGAGGTATTGACTGGATTCAACCCTATCTATGAGTTTCTTGAGGGCAGACATCATGTCCTCCTTATCCTGGTGCCCCCTCAGGGTACCACCAAATAACAATAATAATAGTTGTCTTTGCCAACATTTATATATCATGGGTCAGGTGCTGTTCTCAGGATTTTCTTAATGCTCACAACAAGCTGGTATTCTAGGTTCCATCATTATGCCCATGATTATTGTCCTTTGTGGACAAGAAACCAGAGGCTGCAACAGGTCACAGAGCCATCATGGTCATTAGCTAGTGTTGGAACCAGGATTAGAACCAAGACAGTAGAGGTGCTGTGGGTCCAAAGAGATGAGGGTTAGAAGAATTAGCAAGTACCCGAGAAGTTTTGAATAATAAGAGGGATCAAAGAGACCCAGGAAGTCCCAAGGTGAGGTGAGGAAGAAACCAGCTGGTTGGACCCTCCTAGGAAGAGGAAAGATCGGGAGATGATTGGAACCCTAGAAGCCAGATGGAGGGTTCCTGCCTTTCTATTCCCTGACATGTCTAGGACAAATCTTTGGAGCCCAACTTATTGAGGCTTCTACCCACCCAGGGCCTCCACGACCTCCCAAGCCTGGACCCTAGAGCTCCTCCTGACAAAATTCAAATCACATTAAACTTTTGCTTGCAAAGAAGAGGGTAAAAGGGTATAGAACATGAGAAAGGTTCCTCTTGCCCTCATTCAAGACACCTTTTCAGCTTTCAAGAAGAAAGTATGAGGGCTGGGGATGTGGCTCAAGCGGTAGCGCTCTCGCCTGGCATGCGTGCGGCCCGGGTTCGATCCTCAGCACTGCATACCAACAGAGATGTTGGGTCCGCCAAGAACTAAAAATAAATATTTAAAAAATTCTCTCTCTCTCTCCTTTCTCACTCTCTCTTTAAAAAAAAAAAAAAAAAAAGAAGAAGAAGAAGAAAGTATGAAAGAAGAATAGTGTGTCGGGCCCTTTCCATGTATTTGCTTCCTGCCAAAATTATTGTTAAAGATGAGAAACTAAAGCTGGGCACAGTGGTGCACGCCTGTAATCCCAGCAGCTCGGGAGGCTGAAGTAGGAGGATCTCGAGTTCAAAGTCAGTCTCAGCAAAAGTGAGGCACTAAGTAACTCAGTGAGACCCTGTCTCTAAATAAAATCCAAAATAGGGCTGGGGATGTGGCTCAGTGGTAAAGTACATCGGGTTAAATCCCCAGTACAAAAAAAAAAAAAAAATGATGAGGAATTGAGATTCCAAGATGGTCTATAACCTGACCAAGGTCACACAGCTAATAAACCAGTACTCACTTCCAAGACTGATTGGCATCATTCCTTGCCTGGGCATTCCAGAAGCACAGTCTTCTCATGCTGATGTGCATTCTATTGTCCATCACTACACTGCCCAGGCACTGAGTTCCACTGCCCAGCTCCCAAGCCACTACCTTGCCTGGTCCTAGCAGCTTCGTCTCCTCTTGGCCTCCATCTACTTTCCTGTGCCAAGTAAAGCACTTGTCTTTGTGGACAGAGTATCCTACTCACCTCCCCTTGACTCCAAATTTGCCTTGGCAGACCCTGAGCAAAGATCATACCCAGTCTCTCTTTAGCAGCAGCATGTCTGTGTACCTAACAGCCAGGCCCACCAGAACTGGTGTCTGGAGGAGGATGAAAGTCTTCTCTAGTGACTACCTCTAACCAGACTGAAGCTGGAATGGGGTAGCTCTCCTTTCAGATGTATCTGGAAATTTAAAAGTTCCTTTATGTCCTAATGGAGTTTCAGTCTGTTCCAAGTTCCTAGCCCCATGCCCTAACCAGGTTTGAAATCCATCACTGACAACCAGGYTCAGGGCCAATAGTGTTTGACCCCATGTTGACACCAGAATCTCTCACTAACCCACCCCACAGATTCCACCTCTTCCTTCTGCAGGGGGTCCTTCATAGGTACTCAAATAATAGGGTGAGAAAGGGGCTGGGGCAGGGAACCTCCCCACACAGAGAAACATGTGCAAGTGTGAGCCTCCAAAATGTGAGGATGGAGGGCCTTAAATTATACTTCTGATATTATCTCCAAATGAAGTTATGCATACGTCCTTGTCTATTTTATGTTTGAAGTGCTTGTTAAACATAAATAGTGAAAATACACTACAGCTTTTCACTCTGATAGCATCTTGCTTTTTAAATACCAGGGACTTTAAAAGTGGAAAATGGGCTTCCCCCAAGCCTCAGGAGGCTCTGTTGTGTGCTCTAAAATAAAGATCCAAGAAGCAGGGCGGTGGGAAGGCAGACAGGAGAGATGTAGGAGGCTAATAGCCCTGCCCTCGGCTGAAACTCCTGGGAGCTAGATCCGCAGACCCTCTAAAAGACATCTGCCGGGGCTGGGGATGTGGCTCAAGCGGTAGCGCGCTCGCCTGGCATGCGTGCGGCCCGGGTTCGATCCTCAGCACCACATACCAACAAAGATGTTGTGTCCGCCGAGAACTAAGAAATAAATATTAAAAATTCTCTCTCTCACTCTCTCTTTAAAATTTTGTGCCTGTAGTCTTCAATCCTGCTTCTAGAAGCAGCAAGAGCCAGGCAGGCTGAGGAAGGGCGACAGGCCCAGACTAGCAGAGGAGGCTAGGAGGCCGCCCAACCGGCCCCGCCTTGCAGATCTGGGGCCAGACGTTAAGGCTTCGTGTTTTCTCGCCAGGGCCAGAAACCATGTCCAGCGCCAGACTCCTGGCCCGTGCCCGGCAAGATCGGCCGAGCTAAACCGGCCACCCCTGCAGAGGCAGCACTAAGGAGCTGAGAGGCTAGGCTAAGGACCCCAGCAAGGCGGAAGGAGCGCGCTCCCTCCCCACGAGAAAGACAGATGTGGGGCTAATGAAAGGGAGACTGAGAGGCGCGGGGCTGACGGGGGAGTGTGGGGGCGTGGCAGGGAGAGCGAAGCTCCCAGGAAGGAGAGGACCAGACCACCCGGAGGTCTGCGGAGAGGTCCAGAGGAAGAAGGCGCCGGAGAGAGGGGCTGGACAGGGACCGGCAGTTTGGCCCCAAGGTCCTAACTGAAACTCAACACCCGCCTTTGGAAGGATCGTCCCCTTTTCTCCTCCGCCCCTTCCCTTTCCCTCCCTTTCCCCCTCCCTCCTTTCTCTTAATCCCCAGGACTGAGCCCCGCGCTGGAGAGGAGAGGGCCCGAGGGGAGGAGGAAGAACTGCATTGAAAGGGAGCCGGGAGCCGGGGAAGGGGAGGGAAGGGAGCCGCGAGCGAGGGGTGAGCCGGGGAGCCACGCGCGGCCCCCCTGAAGCCTACCCAGCCCTCTTGGTGTCCCCACCCCGACCCTAACCCCAGTCGAGCCCACAGGACCCTAGCCCCTGCCTCTCCTTCGCCTTCTCTTTGCTCCCTCGGTTGCTTCTTGGCCTTTCTCTTCTTTCCCAAAGACACTTGGGAGCTGCCTCAACCCCTGGGGCGCGTCGAGGGGCCCTGCCGAGGGTGCGTGCGGTGGGGGCCGGCTCCGGGTGTCAGGGGCCGAGGGTGGGGGTGGGAGCTCCCAGCCTGGCACCCCCGACCGAAGGTGGAAGGGGCCTGGGCCCCTCTGCTCCCTGGGGGCAGGAAGGCAGTCCCGCCTCTTCGAGTTGTACCTGCGTGCTGCTTGCTGTGACCCGGGCGCCTGGCGTCCCCGGACCCCTGGGTGCGCTGAGAGCTAGTGTAGAGAGTGAGAACCCGCCTCATCGCCGCGGGTGAGAGGTTCTGGGCAGAAAACTGCCACTCCGGCAACCCAGCCCAGCGGCCACGCTGTTGGAGGACTTGGGCGCCAGTCTGGCTTCCTTTCGCCAATTTGGGCGAGTTTGAAGAGGGACAAAAGGCTCGGTCCTCGCTGGTCTTTCCTCCCAGTGGGGTCCTGTCACAGTGCCCTGGGCCTCCACTACCACAGCCCTGGGATTCCTGGTCCCCGGCGGGGCCAGCGGTTGGGAAGGGTTGGCCCCTAAACTTGCTCATCCAGCCCAACCGTCCCGGCGGCTTCTCCCAGCCCTTGGGGCTGTCCTGAACCTCCTGGACAAGCGTCCCAGATCCCGCCTCCTCGCCAGCCCAGCCCTGGAAAGAAGATTTCGGCCCATGCGGGCCAGGGAGGCCTCTGCGGCCTAGGGCAGGCAGCTCCGGGGGCCTGGCCAACCCAGCGGCCCCTGGGAGGCCGTGGGGACAGTTCAGAGCGCGCCCCTTGGATGAGGTCCCGCAGCGACGCCCCGGCCCGCCCCTCTCCTCCTCCTGCCTGGCCAAACTGCCTCCCATTTGGGAAGTTTTGTGGGTTTTCTTTCTCCTCCAACCTTGGCGGAGACCACTGCTCAAGCGCCACAGCCGGGGGTAGCCTCCTTGCTTGGAGGCCGCGAAGCATGGTGCGGGGCAGCCACCGCTGAAGTCAGCGAAATCGAGCCTGGCCTGAAGCAGGCGGCGCTGGAGGCCAAGGCCATGGCCATTGCCACGTCGGTGAGTCCACCACGGAGAGGAGCAGAAACCTGCGGGGCAGAAACCTGTCCAGCCTGCCTTGACTCCTGTAGCGTTTATTTCTGCCCTCTCTTTGTCTCTCTCCTTGATCGATCCCTTTCTCCTCCAGGAGGCTGTGTCCTATCACTTTTGTTTCCTTTCCCCCTCTCACTCATCCCCTGCTTCTTCGGCTCCTGGGTTCGCCCCTCCTCTTCTCCCCCTCCCCAAGCTCTTTCTTTCTAGAGGTTGCTGCTGGATAGAGGGGAGGGGGCAAGGGTAGTCCCAGTCCTATCTGCTCCTTTCTGGGCGGGAACAGATGGCCACTGGTGGTTGGCAGGGATTTGTGATTGGGAAGCAAAGTAAACGGGATTGAAAGGACAAGCTGCTCAAGGAAAATGGGAGGCCAAAGGACCAGGAAGACCTRTCTCTGGAGGAGGGATGGAGGAAAGGAGGCAAATAGAGGAAAGGGGGGTGATCTGGCAGGGAGAGAGAATATAGAGGGAGGAGGGGAGGTGATGTCAGCCTGCCTCAGGCCACTTTCCGGGGACTCAGGACAAAGGGAGGAGACAGCTGGCATGATGGGACAGTGGGAGGTGGCCTCCCAGAAAGCTGCAGTGGTCCCCTGCCACCTCCATTTAGCCAGCCATTCCCTAGCAAGTCAGCTGGGCCGCTAGGCGGGAATAAAACAGGGGCCGCACCCATCAGCACTCATTCCATCAGCAGCTCTGTCCTGGGTTTCTACATCTGCAAGGCCCAGAGGTTTGGCTCCATTGGACAGAATTCAAACCTAACACAGGGAGGAGCTCTCCACTGACCCACCCCTCTGCTTTCTGTCCAGCACTCTGAGTAGTCTGAATCCAGGCAACTTCGCCTTTCTGCCCTTCCCTGGCCTCTGGCTTGAATTTCCAGGAAAAGCAAGGGTAACACCTGCTTTCTGATCCCCTCTGAAGGGGGACTCTGGGAGTATTTTGAGAGTGGAAAGAAAAGCAGAGAGCCACCCACACCCTCCCATTCCTCTTAAGGACCAGTTGGATTTGGGCTCCTTCCCAGATCAAACTCCTGTTAGTTCCTCAATCATGATGACTTGAAGACACTAGCCCAATGCTGGGAGAGGGGGAGAGCCTCTGGGAGTACTTGGGCACAAGGTGATGATTGTGTAACTTTGCAGTCCCAGGAGGTAGAATTTTTTGGTGAGGTGGAGGCATATTTATGCTGAGTAAGCTCAAGGATCCTTAATAATGCTAGTATTTATTAAGTACTTGCTACACCTGACCTTATGCTAAAGTTTTTCACATTTTGTTTTTTGAGATGAGGTTGATGTTGCCTAGGCTGGTCTCAAGCTCCTAGAATCAAGGGATCCTCCTGCCTCAGCCTCTCAAGTAGCTAGGACTATAGGCTCATGCCTAGCTATGTTGTGGGKTTTTTTTTAAGGAATTATCTCATGCAGCCCTCAGAACAGCCTTGTGAGGATACTGCTGTCCTTATACAAAAACMGATATTTGGATAAAAAGATGGAATTCTACAAAGGAGGAAATTAAGGCTCACAAAGGTCAAACAACCTGACCAAAGTTACCCCGTGAGAAAGGGACAGAGCCAGGACTCAACCCCAGGTCCATCTGCCTCTTGAACTTTACTTTTAATCCCCTGACTATCTGCAAAACACTGATTTATAATTTACAGTTAGAAAGAAAACTGTGGAGCCAACCAGGAATTTGTGTTATCCGATTAGCATTCCCTTACCCCACCTGCCATGGGACAATATCCTTTAGGAGCTACAATACAATTAGAAAATAGTTGGATGCATTTGGAATCAAGCAAGAGGAAGAGTCCATTTGTTAAAACCACTTAGCCATGAAGGGTTGGACAGCTATTGTCCACCAGCAGAAAACACCAGCCAAGAAGAACATGCACTGGTGCTGACTGAGCAGGGATTCCTTCTCCTCACAGTCTGGTGGCAGTCCGCCTGAGGTCTTTAGCTTGAAGGTGTTTGCTGAATTAGTGAGTTCACATTGTTACCTGGCTAGGAGCTGTTCTCCAACACTACTGTATATGCCACCACTGCCCAAGATCCTACCAGCAGGCATGGTCCTTTAATAATATATTTTGACTTTTTGAATGGTTTAATTTTGATTCTACCAAAGGATTCTTGGAACAAGAGCATCATGAAGGGTTACAGAAAAGGGAAATTGAGTATAAGGAAGACTTGATATGTACTTGACTCACCTTTGAGTCATGGACCCTTTTGACTCCACCACTGGTACCATTGAAACAAACAAAACAAAAATAAGCAAATATCTGCCATTGTGGAAAGGTAATGGAATAAAGTGACTGAGGGTGCAGGCTCTGAAATCAAACAGCCTGAGCTTCAAATCATGCTCCACTACTGTACCAGCCATGTGTCATTGAGCAAAGCACTAACCTCTCTTCCCAGTTTCCTTTCCAAAATGCAGGTAATGGTTTCTCCCCGATAAGGTTGTTGTGAGAATTAAATGTGATGATGAAAGCAAAGACTTGCACAGTGGAAAGAAATATCATCTGCACTTAGCTTCTGCGTCTGACCTGAGCATGTGGCTCCAATGTAAAAAGCTCACATGCCCCCTCCAGACAGGACTGGAAATGAGATAGATGCTTATTCCTGATTGGCCTGCCAGCTCCCTTCCTTGTGCACACACTAGAGCATATACACTTTTCTCCATGGTAACCTCAGCCTCTTCTGGTAGAAMCTTATTTGCTCAGACTGAGAACAAAACAATTGCTTTGGTTTCTGTTTTCTTTCATATCATGCCTAGGCACTGTCTGAACAGGGCTTTTTCCAGTCTCCCTCAGAATAGGGGTCTTTGCAGCTGCTTAATCTAAGCTTTTGCATGTGAGGGGCAGCCACTAGGGAAAAGAAGGAAAGTGAAGGAGATTCCGTGAGAAACCTTAGCAAGACCTCTTCATGTGCTTTGGGAGAAATTAATTCAACAAATGTGTACTGAGGACCAGTTCCAGGCGAGTCCCTATTACAGGGACTAGGAAGAAGTAAGGGCTTACAGTGTAAGGAGAGAAATTGCTAATAATAATAAAAGAAATGACTAAAAAGACAAATAACTTTGGGTATTATGAAGGAAACAGTGGTAGAGATGATGCAGAGAATGGGACGGGGCAAACAGTGATTAAGGAGGAGGAGACATTTAAGCTAAACTAAAGGATGAAAAAGGGCCAGTCAGATGAAATCAGGGGAAGAGCATTCTGAGGAGGGAAAATAGTAAGTCCAAAGGTCTTGAGGTCAGAATGTTATGGAAGAGGAGGACAGAGGTGATAAAGCTGGAGGCAAGACGGGACTTGTCAGTGCTGAGTCAGGAGTCAGATTGTTAAAGGGAATGGGAAGCTCTAAAGAGGCTTCCCATGACCAGATAGGTGTGTACAGACCCTCGCCTTATACTCTCCTCACCCACCAGGCCCAGCTGGCCCGGGCACTGTACGACAACACTGCCGAGTCTCCCCAGGAGCTGTCCTTCCGCAGAGGGGATGTTCTACGGGTACTGCAGAGGGAGGGTGCTGGCGGACTGGATGGCTGGTGCCTCTGCTCCCTGCATGGCCAGCAGGGCATTGTGCCTGCCAACAGAGTGAAGCTTCTTCCTGCTGGCCCAGCGCCCAAGCCTAGCCTCTCCCTGGCACCCTCCGCCCAGCCTGGCTCACCACACCCAACCCTAGAGCACAGCAATGAGGAACAGGAGGTGAGACTTGAAGTCCCCCAAGCCCCAAACCTGGAGACCCCTTGTCCTCCCCTGGGGCCTGCAGGCAGGCAGGCAGACCCCCCAGGTCACTGCTCTCCTCCCACTGTGCTCTCTAAAGTCTGAGCCACCCCTTAGCTCTGTGTCCCTGTTGGTAGCACAGCAGGGCAGGTTTCTAAGCTCCTCCAAGTCTAACATGGTTCACCAGCGCCCTCCTTCAGACCCACCCACCTGTCTTGATCTCCCAGGTGTATGTGGTACCACCCCCAGCTCGCCCCTGTCCTGCCTCAGGACCTCTGACTGGACCCTGCCCACCCTCCCCTGACTCCATCTACAAGGTCCCCAGAGGCAATGGGACCCAACTGTCCACTCCCAGAGATGCCTTGGAGGTGAGGGTTAAAGGTCTATGTATTTGGGGTAAGGGACAAACAACCTCAGGGCTGGTCCATTGCTGAGCTGAAGGGTGACTCACTGTTCCCTCTCTCCAGGTCTATGATGTGCCCCCCACTGCCTTCCGAGCTCAATCCAGTGACCCCTATGACTCCCCAGCTTCCTTTTCTCATCCACTGGCCCGGGTTGCCCAGCAGCACCCTGGGGAAGATGAAGCTCCCTATGATGTACCTCTAGCCCCAAAACCAGAGCCAGATCTGGAGTGGGAAGGGGGCCGGGAACCAGGGCCCCCACTCTACGCTGCCCCCTCCAACCTGAAACGGGCATCAGCCCTCCTCAACCTGTATGAAGCACCCGAAGAACTGCTGGCCAACGGGGAAAGTGGGGACACTGATGAGGGCATCTATGATGTGCCCCTGCTGGGTCCCGAGGCACCCCCTTCTCCAGAGCCCCCAGGAAACTCGGCCTCCAACGARCTGGACACCCTGGCCCAGCTCCTGGCCAGAAGCCCTCCACCACCACACAGGCCTCGGCTGCCCTCTGCTGAGAGTCTGTCCCGGCGCCCTCTGCCTGCCCTGCCTGTCCCTGAGGCTCCCAGCCCTTCTCCGGCTCCCTCTCCTGCTCCAGGCCGCAAAGGCAGTATCCAGGACCGGCCTCTGCCTCCACCCCCACCCCGCCTGCCTGGCTTTGGGGGTCCCAAGGTCGAGGGGAATCCAGAGGACAGGGAAGTGGAGGATGATCCAGCAGGACCCCACAATGAGTATGAAGGCATCCCAATGACTGAGGAGTACGACTATGTTCACTTGAAGGTGAGTTCCTCCTTCAAGTGGGGCACTCCCAGAAATGCCCCAAGAGGAGGAGGAGTGTGGAGGCTTGGGGAAGAACTTCCCTGCCTCCCTTCTTCCTCTCTCCCCTGCCCCTTCACCCTGTGGCCAGGGACCCTACCACATGTTCTTGGCCTTACCACATGTACTAGTGCCACACTCCCCGCTTAATCCCAGCCTGGGACCACCAGAGCTCCCTCCTGAGTCAAGGGACTGGAAGGGAGACTGGGGAAGCCACCACTCCTGCACTGAGACCTGATCCCCTTTGCAGGGCATGGATAAAGCTCAGGGATCTAGGCCCCTGGATAAAGCCTTTCCAGAGGATCCTGAACTGCAGGAGAAGGGACTGCCTGAGCAGCAGGTAACCCCCTGTTGGAGGTGTGCTAGAGAAGGGGGCTGGTGAAGGAGGGCTGAAGACTTGGGGGAAGGGGTATTCTTAACCAAACTATAGAGGGAAATAGATTAGGATGAGGTTAGAGTTCACATGAAGCAGGGACAGAGTAGACAGGAGTTAGAATTCAACTGGAAGGTGCTGGAACTTGGAAGAGGATATTAGAAATTCAGAAAGAGGGGAAAGAATGTGTTGGAGAGGAGTCAGAAAGCCGGGCAGCCAAGGGAGCAGAAAGAGTTTCTGGGCTGTGGCTCCTTCTAAGGCTCCTTCCAACTGTGAATTCCTGGGCTCCTAAGAGACCTGGCTCATAATCCCAGCTCCACCACTAAGAAGGGGGTGGGGGGCACAAAGCGATCACTTAAGTCTTTCTGGACCTCAGGAAAGTGAGATATTTCCTTGACTCAGTCTAGAATGGACATAACACAATAGCAACCATTTATCAGGTATTTACCAAGTGCCAGACCCTGTGCTAGGCACACATGCTTCAACATCAATCACAGTCATAGTCGATGCTCATAACAGCTTAGGGTGTGAGTGCACTGTGCCAAGCCCTTTTTATTTATTTTCTCGAATAACGTTCTCTGCAGCCTTGTTAGGTACATGCTAGAACTATAATCTTCAATACAGTTACCACATGTGGCTACCAGACCCACAAGATGTGGCTAGTCTGAATTGAAATGTGCTATAAATATAAAATGCACACTGGATTTTGAAGATTTACTATGGAAATAACTCAATAATTTTCATATTGATAACAGATGGGAACTACAACATTTTTGATTTTAGAATTAGAGAAAATATACCAATTTCTTTTTACTTTTTTAATGTGGCTACCAAAATATTTAAAACTTCACATGTGACTTACATTATGTTTTTATTGGACAGTGCAGTACTAGACTCCCTGTTTGCTTTTTTTTTTTTTTTCCATGTGTGTTTATGTGGTCCTGGGGATAGAATCAGGGCCTCATACATACCAAGCAAGTGCTCTACCACTAAGCTACACCTCCAGCTCTACACTTTTTCTTTCCCCTCTCTCTTTCTCTCTCTCTCTCTCTCTTTTTAATTTGTTCTAGTTATACAAGAMAATAGGATGCATTTTGACACATCATACAGAACTTCTCATTCTTCTGGTTGTTCATGATATAGAATCACACTGGTTCTGTAATCATATATGTACATAGGGTAATAATGTCCAATTCATTCTACTATTATTCCTATGCCCAGACCCCCTACCCTCTCTTCACTCCCCTCTGCCTAAACCTAGGTACCTTTATTCTTCCCTAAACACCCCCCCTTATTGTGAATTAGCATCCGCACATCAGAGAAAACATTTGGCCTTTGGTTTTTTTGAGATTGACTTACTTCACTTAGCATGATATTCTTCAGTTCCATCCATTTACTGGCAATTGCCATAGTTTCATTATTCTTTATGGTTGAGTAATATTCCATTGTGTATATATACCACATTTTCTTTATCAATTCATCTGTCAAAGGGCATCTAAGTTGGTTCCATAGTTTGGCTCTTGTAAATTGAGCTTCGGTAAATATTGATGTGGCTGTGTCACCATAGTATGCTGATTTTAAGCCCTTTGGATATAAACCAAGGAGTGCCCAGCCCTATACTTTTTGTTTTAGAAATTAGAAGCCACAAAAGTTCAGAGACTTGTTTGAAATCAGGTTTGAGGTTATTTGAATCCAGAGCTGTCTCACACTGAGTCTGGGCATTTCACTGCCAATCTAAATTTTCTGATGAGCAGGGATGAGAGTTGAAGGGATTTTTCTCAGGAAGAAGGAGCAAGGGAGGAAGTGRCACTGAGGAGCACGTTCCCACTGACTCCCTTCTCGCCCCTCAGGAGGCCCCATCCCCAGGGGAACCACTGGTTCTGTCCACCGGAGACCTACAGCTCCTGCACTTCTATGCAGGGCAGTGCCAGAGCCACTACTCAGCGCTACAGGCGGCTGTGGCAGCCCTGATGTCCAGCACCCAGGCCAAGCAGCCCCCAAGTCTCTTCGTGCCCCATAGCAAGCGGGTTGTGGTGGCTGCTCACCGTCTAGTATTCGTTGGGGACACCCTGGGTCGGCTGGCAGCCTCTGCCCCTCTGCGAACACAGGTGGGGGCTGCAGGTACAGCGCTGGGCCAAGCTTTGCAGGCCACTGTGCTGGCTGTTAAGGGGGCTGCCCTGGGCTATCCCTCAGGCCCTGCAGCCCAGGAGATGGCACGGTGTGTGGCAGAACTGGCAGGGCGAGCCCTGCGATTCACCACCCTGCTCACCAGCCTGGCTGCCTGAGGGTCTGTTGGCACAGCCTTCCCCTCCCCTGCCTGGTCAGAGCCTCCACACACTCAGGTCTTGGGTGGATGGAGGGCTGTTTCAGGGAAGGGGAGGTCTCTTCCCCCTCCCCTTCCCCTTTCAGTCATCTCAGCCTCTCACAGAGGCATCTCTTTCCCCTAATCCACAGCTTTTTGTATGAGAGCCATTTTGTATAAATTATTTATATTTAATGTTATTCCCTGCTTTGTCAGGGCCAGGCACCAGGTCCTCTGAGGCAGGGATGAACTGAACCCTCCTCCTCACCAGCCAGGGTTAGAGGTCACTGCACTGCCTCCTGCCTCTGGAAATTTGGGACACCAAGAATCAAGTGGCAGGAACTTGGGACCACACAGAGTCTCTCTCCCTTCCTGTTTCTTGGTTCCTGAACACCAATTCCTCAYTTAGCCGAGAATGAGAGAAGGACATTGACTGCCCAGAATATGAAGGTCTGGGAGACATCAGAAGACTCCTCCCCTCAAAAGGCAGGAATGTTGGCCTGAGCATGGGTGTGTGCACTTCAATAAACCCTGCGGTCTGGTCCCCTGACTCTGTTGCTTGGGAGCATTGTGGGAGTGGGGGTGGGGTGGCATCCCTCGCCATACCCATGGCAGGTGGGGGGATTTTCCTCTTTTGACAATGTGCATTAGACTGGTTCTCAACTCCCATAAAGGACCAGAGAGAATTCTAAAGGTATGTAGTGAATGTGCCCTTCTAATAAGGGTTGGATGGACATCAACAAGTCATTAAAATAAGTGCATAAAAAATAAACCAGATTGGACACTTGGTGGTGGAAATCCACAGGACAATGAGAAAAGATGAGCAAGGTGAGGAGAGGACCACTGACAAGACATTAGCTAGGCACCTRGAGGAAGAGAGAACCAAGAGGGTCTGACTAGTGTTCCAGGAAGGCAAGCCCAGGTTGCTGACTTGGGAATCAAGCCTTCTTCAGATGATGATGTCACTAGAGGGGTGCAGTTGTGGAGAGAAGTCACCTAGGTGACTCCAAGAGCATCTAGCCCCTTACACTGCACTTCCCAGGCTTCCTACTGATAATCCCTCTGGACAAACTGTCTTCTAGGGGAGCTGGAGTGGCAGACAAGGGCAATGACTTGGAAGTCCATAGTCCTCCAGACTTTGGTGAATGAAGTCAAGAGCCTGTGGGTTTATAGGGGGGATTACTCCAGCCATTTACCTACCACAGGGAAGAAATCTGAGCCACAGACCCATTGCTTCAGTTTTGCACTCCCAGTTATCTGGCACAATAACCACTTTCGGGGCACCTCAGATTTCAATCACAATCTAGTACCTTGGCACCCTCTGAATTTGCCTCCTCTGTTGTGGGCTCCCTTCTCATTTCATTCTCAAGGAAAAAAATTCCAGATTCCAGAATCGACAAAATTCACCTCTATGTATTGAAAGCCATCTCCCATCTTCCAGACAGATTTCATAGATAACCCCTGAACTGGAGTCAGTTTCAGTTCAAGTCTCAGATCTGCCATGTACTTGAGTGTCTGTAGGAAAATCATTGCTAGTCACCTCTGAGTCCTGGTTTAGCTTTAATGTGAGAGGATCATAATGGTCTGATAGGGTTGTTGTAAGGACCTACCAAGAAAATGCATGTGAGCAGGGCTGGGCTTGTGGCTTACTGATAAAGTGCTCACCTAGCATGTGTGGGGCCATGGGTTCGATCCTCAGCACCACATAAAAATAAATAAATAAAAATATTGTATCCAACTACAACTAAAAAAATACTAAAAAAAAAAAAAAAAAGAAAAAGAAAATGCATGTAAACAGCCCAGCACCACATAAAATTAAGAGATTATTATCCAAGACAGACAAGGATGTAGACAATAAATCCCTAAGGTATGTTGGCTGTGATTGTATTGTGGTAACTCTGGAAGAGAGGCTAAAAAGAATAGAGGGAGGGGGAGTGGTGAGAGTCTGCTTGATGTATTAGAAAAGAAGGGTTTCCTGTATTGGGGAAATATGAATAGAGGAGACAAGTGGAAGGTGGTTCAGTGTAGAGAAAGGGGAATGAGCTAGTTGACTTGACACATGGTCCWTCCCAGTCCTTACCTAGGATTGGGGAATGAAGTACCTATCAAGCATAAAAATTTATTAGAGAAATGAATCGCTAACTTGAATGTACATACACCTGGGGATCTAGTTAGAATACAGATAATGATTCAAGGGTCTGGTTGAGGCTAAGATTATGCTCTCAAATGATAATGGGTGCTGCTGGTCCTTCAATTCCACTGAATAGCAATTCTAAGGTTAGAGAAGATTTTGAGGCAAAGATGCTTGAGCTGACAGCTGAAGGATGGGAAAAACTTGACTAAGAAGCTATCTAAGTATAAGAACCAGCTTGTGCAAAGACACTGTAACATTGGAAAAACTGAAGAAGGTCAGAGGCTAGAGTGCAGCAAGTTTGAGACATGAAGTGAAATGGAGCTACATAGAGCATATGACCAGGCATGCAGGAGCATGTGTGAGTTCGTGAGCTGTCTAGAATACTTATCTTCATGGTGATAGCCTGGAAGGGACACACAAGGCGCCTCTTTTTCTTTTTTCTTTTTTTTTTTTTTCTTTTTTTTTTTTTTTGTGTGTGTGGTGCTGGGGATTGAACCCAGGGCCTTGTGCATGCAAGGCAAGCACTCTACCAACTGAGCTATATCCCAGCCCAGCAGCCCTTTTTATTTTCTATTTTGAAACAGGTTGCTTGGGGCCTTGTTAATTTGCTGAGGCTGGCCTTGAACTTGCCATCTTTCCTGCCTCAGCCTCCCAAGTCACCAGAATTACAGGTGCACTCTACTGTGCCAAGCAGACCTCCATTTTTAAAAAGATTATTCCATCTGCATCCATAAGTAATAGATGGGGGAGGGGATAGATATGAAAGGATACAGAACACCAGGTGGGAATTTGGAGGTTGCAGTATTGGTAATAGAGATGGAAGAGAAGCAGAATATCTGAGAACTATACAGGAAGTAGAATGGATAGGATTTTGTAAATGACTTGACATGAGTTAAGAGGAAGTTTCAAGGACTGTCACCTGAGCATCTGGCCATAAGTGGTTGGTATTATTCCTTGAAGAAGGAAGACTAGAAGATGACCATCAAGGTTATAGTGGGGAAGAACATGAGTTTGGTCATAGGGAATTTGAGGTCCCTGTGAGTTATCAAAAGTGGACCCTGGGCTCAGAAAAGAGATGAGATCTGGGGGGTATATCTGGGACTCAGATTTGTATCATTTGTACTGGTGGTGACTGAAATGTTGGGAATGAGTGAGATCCCAAAAGGGAGACAATACTGTAAGGTGAGAAGAGAGTCAAGGACCAAGTCTCTGAGGATTGCAGAACTGAATGAAGGTGAGGGATAGGAGGATGTGCCTGCATGGAGAAAAGGAGTAAAAGAAAGAAAACCAGGGGAATGTGGGTCTTAGAAGATAAGAAAGTATTTAGAGGAAGGGGTTGTCAATACTGCCAAATGCTGTTGAAAAATCATAGAGATTCAATCAGGATGGGATGGTGAATCCCAGAGAAGTGGTCTCCTTGTAGCGATTGAAGCTAGAAAGCTGAGTACAGTGCCAAATCAGCTCTCCACATGCATAAGCTGAACTACAATTGCCTGTTTACATGTCTCCCCARGGTGGTCTTGTCCAGCCTATTATCCCCAAAGCCTAGACAAGGCCTGGAACATAGTAGGCATTTAACAAATTTCACTGATGAATGAATGAGTGGGGAAGAACTGGAAGTGATGGAGGACCCTCTGGCATCTGTCTGAGTTACTATCCTTCAGCATTTTTCCCTTTTCACCGCAATGGCCCGCAGACCAAGGAACAGAAGACAGAGCCCCCAGCCCCTCCCTCCCCTGGGCCCTGGCCCCCCTTCCTCTCTCTGACGAAAAGTCTGGACCGAAGGTTCTGCTGACGTGGGAAGGGGAGGGGAGTCTAGAGGAAGAGGAGGGGAAAGCAGCGCAGAGATCGCAGAGACTGAGGAGGCGCCCGCGGCTGCAGAGCTGCAGATTGGGGTCCCTTCGGTCTTTCACTGTCCGGCCTCCCGGCGCGCAGCTGGGCCAGAGGGTAGTGCATCCTTTTGGCGCGGTCCAAGAGGGCCGCTGTGGTCGGCAAGCTGGCTCCCCGGGTGGCCACTGGGACCCCAGAGCCTAATGGCGGGGGTGGCAGCAAAATCGACAGCACCGTAGAGATCACCCCCAGCTCCAACGGAGTAAGTGCCTGCGCCTCGCGCGGGGGGTGGTGGTGGTGGTGGTGGCTACGCCATCCTATCCCGCACCCCCGTCCAGGTCCCCGCTGAAGGCCCGGCATTTTCTCCCGTGCATCCCCTGTCCCTACCTGCCTTCCTTGCCCTAGCTTCAGCACCTCCCGCCCCCTATCTCCCCTTGCTCTGCGGCTTTCTCCGCTTCACCCTTCTGCCCCCAACACCCCACTTCGCCCCACAGCAGGTCGGGACCCTTGGAGATGCTGTGCCCACCGAGCAGCTGCAGGGTGAGCGCGAGCGCGAGCGGGAGGGGGAGGGCGATGCGGGCGGCGACGGGCTGGGCAGCAGCCTGTCGCTGGCCGTACCCCCAGGCCCCCTCAGCTTTGAGGCGCTGCTCGCCCAGGTGGGGGCGCTGGGCGGCGGCCAGCAGCTGCAGCTCGGCCTCTGCTGCCTGCCAGTTCTCTTCGTGGCTCTGGGTCTGGCCTCGGACCCCATCTTCACGCTGGCGCCCCCACTGCATTGCCACTACGGGGCCTTCCCTCCCAACGCCTCTGGCTGGGAGCAGCCCCCCAATGCCAGCGGCGTTAGCGTCTCCAGCGCGGCCCTAGCAGCCAGCGCAGTCAGCCGCGTCGCCACTAGTACAGACCCCTCGTGTAGCGGCTTCGCCCCGCCAGACTTCAACCATTGCCTCAAGGACTGGGACTATAATGGCTTGCCGGTGCTCACCACCAACGCCATCGGCCAGGTGAGACGGTCAGGCGGGCCTCGGGTCTGGGGGAGGGCCTAGGGTGGCAAGGGCGGGGCCTCATGCCCGGTGCACCCTTCTCACATCCCCAGTGGGATCTGGTGTGTGACCTGGGCTGGCAGGTGATCCTGGAGCAGATCCTCTTCATCTTGGGCTTTGCCTCCGGCTACCTGTTCCTGGGTTACCCCGCAGACAGGTGAGGGCTGTCGTGGGGGCCGGGATGGTAGAGAGGAGGGGGTGCTAGGGAAACTAGCCCAAGCAGCTGGTGTTTGCAAAAGATAGAGGACAATTCGCTGGACTCTGCTGGCCTTCTCAGGACTTCCGTTCAGTGATCTACCCCTGACTCAACTTCACTCCCCATCAAGAAATACACTCTTCTGCACAGGAGAATGACCTCCATGGACCATTTCCACTTACCTGTAGCCCCGTATCCATGGACCAATGACATCATCTCCAAAGATAATAGTCCCATCCCCTAAACGAAAACCCTGTTTTGACAAGGAAATGCTCTCTCTTCCTTTGTAGCACTTCTCATCCTAAC